TTGGACCCATAAAGAAATGCAATGAATGCGAGCAACAGGAGGAGGACTTCAATTCATTTGGCCTACGACTCGTAATCTGAGACAGATGTGTTTACCATTTTACAAACCATTTTTACACGCCATTATTGAGTGTGCAATCGGTAGCCCGCATGGTTGCGCATCTTGTTGAGTTCTTGTAACCAGCTTTTGTACTCTCATTCAGCGAGACATTCTCGAGGGGAACAAAGCGTTCACTGTGCCAAGTAACCAAAACATGGTTTACATCAAGAACTGGTCAGATTTTGAGACGGTGAGTTTGGCGTGTTTTGTCGGGCGAGCATGAAGCTGTAGCATCAATCGCGAATATTCACTCATGTTCCCTTCCTCTTCGATACAGGCAACGACAGAGCTGTACAACCATGCGCCGCAAAAGGTATGCGAGGAGTAGGAGCTCACAATCCAGGTGCACCGGAATGGCAGCTGAGCGGAAAGTTGTGATGAATAGGTTCGGTACTGCGTAAAGTTCAGGCCGAAGGAGGGACATCTGGTGCTGAAGGTAACAGACGATATCAAGGTGCGCTCTTCTCTCCCGTCTCGCAGTCATCCGTTTGGTATCTTGTATGACTAACTATTCACTTCCTTGACGTGTCTACAGTGCCTGAAATACAAGACCTACTCATCCATCATCCTCAACCGTTTCGAGTCCCTCAACCTCCGGCTCCTCACCTCGATGGCTTCTCCACGGGTGCGTGCAGTGCCGACAATAGCGCCGACCGCGACGTCGGCGCCGACGGAAGACAAGGTTGAAGGCAATAGCAGCGCAGAAGCGATGACGGTAGCAACGGGCGGAGCAGCAGGGAAGAGCGCGTCTAAGAAAAAGAAGAAGGGGAAGAAGTAGCCACATTCAGGTGGCTGCAAACAGTCGGGACATTGCTTTGTGGTGGAGAGGAGGAGAGGCAGCTGGCCGAACGCTGTGACCAACCCGCCATGTTTTGGGAACGCATGAACTCTTTAGCCGACGAAAACGAAGAAATCAGCAACCAGACAGATCGACAAGACAGCCTTGTATTATTATTCGACAATCGAGCGTTGTACTTTATCATTGATGCATTATGTAGTGACAGATTTTTACAAACTTTACATACAAGCACTACTGCAGCCCAGTGGATATGCAGCAAACGTCGGAGCGCGACCGAGTCTTGCGACTGGGCCAATCGCAGTATTTTTCTGTCTGTCCCTCCATTCGCCGACACTAGTTGCTCACAGAATCGATATTCAATGAGACGGCAGCCTCTGTTTGTTGTACTTGGCGGAGTATGGTTGTGGACACTACATCAGCGCTCGGGACACCTTCGACCCCGCCGAAGTCGAATATCATCGATAGATGGCAAGGGCGGCAATGAGTCGGCGATCAGTCGGTACTCCTCCGGTGTCCATAACCTCCGTCATCTTCTCCGAGGAGAAGACCGAGAAGATGACCCTACCTAGGCTCCTCCGAAGGTCGAGTAGCACTCTTACCAGCTCTCAGTACCCAGCTCAGTACCTCCCCTCCGTCTTGCTCACGTGACCCTTTGATAACGTCGTATACCCTCCGGGATTTGGAATACAGTTCCCGCTCCGCTCGCCTGCCCCACGTTCTTCCTCCGCGTGCCCGGCGGTACTTGCCTAAACGAAGAGAGCAGCTGATTCGCTTGGAGGGCGCTGATGGTCGGAAGCGATAACGATATCGAGAAGGTTCTGCGCTTGAGTGAAGGTGACTAGGTGAAAAAGCGCTTGGGGTGAGCGGATGCAAGCGTCGTCCAATGAACGTCACTGTTGGATTACGTGTTCTAGTGAGTCAGCCCTGTAAGCACGGCGCCCGCCTTGGCTCTGTAAGCAAGCAAAGCCTTTCCCTCCCCAACGGTCCGTTGACTTTCTAATACTACAAAACCGACACTGAACCATACCCTTCGTCCGACCCGTCGCTATCGAAGATTCCCCCGAGTACAAACGCACATTTCGTCGCTTTTGGTGAGTTGTTCTTTTCTTGGTCGGTTCTGCCTTGGTTCTTGCTGTGTCTGTGGTGGTTGCGGCCGGATTGGGATTCTGGTGGAGGATCAAGGTGAAGTGCATGACTGCTCGAGCAATGGGATCAATAGATGGCGCCGGCGAGCGCGAGACACCCATGAATGGGAGTCAGTCGGATCGGGAGTGGCTTTGACGTGTCTATGGCATCCGTCGGATTGCCATGGCGAACGCAAAGTCTTGAACTAGGACGGCCTCGGCTGATGGTAGCGAAATCAGGAAGGATACCAAGTCTGATAAAGGGATGAGTGGTTGGGATGAGTGACGATCGATAGCAGGACGGGATGCCTAGCGTTTAGCGGTGACATGCCGGCCTAGTGTTATAAACGAATTCGCCTTCGGGATTAGCAGGCGCAAGTCGGAGTTTCGCTCCGTTCGGGAACTTCGGGCGAGAGGGTGTCTCCTTGTTGTGCCTTACCACCGAACAACTCCAGGCATTCACAGGCAGGGCCTAGAGGCCCTGCCTGTAGGCCCTGCCTAGTTGATAGTGGGGCAACGGTTCGATACTGCCGGTCGGTATGAGAGGTAGTTTGGATCCGGATGTCCATTCTTCTCGCATGATGGATGTCATCCACGTCAGACATGAGCAGGATTGATGGTGCTTATAAGAGCAAACTGAAAGAAGACTTGTCCTGACTCTGTTGCCTCTCCCCAGCATCCTTAGAACAAACCACAAAACATCACATAATGTCTGTCAAAGTCGGTATCAACGGGTACGTACGGGTTCATCCCTTCAATGCTACCAGACGTGTCTAACGCTTCTCGTTCCATAGTTTCGGTCGAATCGGTCGAATTGTCTTCCGAAATGCCGTAGAGCACGGAGACATTGAAGTCGTCGCCATCAACGAGTAAGCTACTACCTTACTCGTCAGGTTGGACATGATACTAATCGCTGTCTTACCCTGTCATCAGCCCCTTCATTGACCTCGACTACATGGTCTACATGTTCAAGTACGATTCTACCCACGGTCGATTCAAGGGTACCGTCACCGCTGAGAACGGCAAGCTCGTCATCAACGGCAAGCCCGTCCACGTTTTCGGTGAACGAGACCCCGCCGCCATCAAGTGGGGAGAGGCTGGTGCCGACTACGTTGTCGAATCCACCGGTGTCTTCACCACCGCCGAGAAGGCTTCCGCCCACTTGAAGGGTGGTGCCAAGAAGGTCATCATTTCTGCTCCTTCCGCCGACGCACCCATGTTCGTCTGTGGTGTCAACTTGGACGCTTACAAGTCGGACATGAACATTGTTTCCAACGCTTCATGCACCACCAACTGTTTGGCTCCCTTGGTCAAGGTCTTGCACGACAAGTACACCATCATCGAAGGTTTGATGACCACCGTCCACGCCACCACCGCTACGCAGAAGACCGTTGATGGTCCTTCCCACAAGGACTGGCGAGGAGGTCGAGGCGCCGCCGCCAACATCATTCCTTCCTCCACCGGTGCCGCCAAGGCCGTCGGTAAGGTCATCCCCGAATTGAACGGCAAGTTGACCGGTATGGCTTTCCGAGTCCCCACTTCGGATGTCTCCGTTGTCGACTTGGTCGCCCGAATTGAGAAGCCCGCTTCTTACGAGGACATCAAGGCTACCATGAAGGCCGCTTCCGAGGGTGAGCTCAAGGGTATCTTGGGTTACACCGAGGACGAGCTCGTCTCCACCGACTTTGTCGGATCCACCGAATCCTCCATCTTCGACGCCAAGGCCGGTATCTCGCTCAACCAGAACTTTGTCAAGCTCATCTCGTGGTACGACAACGAATACGGTTACTCTCGACGAGTCTGTGACCTTATCGCCCACATGGCCAAGGTTGACGGTGCCCTTTAAACGTCTGGCTTGCCAACTTTTTCTTTCCACCATCAGCACCCTTCCCTTCGCACCGGTTGTCGGATGCATTTCATAGAGCGAAAAACAAGAATGAACATTTCGAAACAGAGAAACTCATTGTAACAGTTGTGTAGTATTTTCGTATGCGACATGATGGCGTTATCACAATGAACAGCGTCAATCGACCAATGTTGAGCCCGTTTAGTCGACTTGTTTCCTGCGTGTATTACGCTCGTGTAGCTGGTCGTGTCGTGGGCATTGATTGAGTGCGGGTCATGAATCATGTAGATTTATCGAACAGGGTTGATCACGCTTCGCGATTTACTGTTGACCATGCATGTTGAGCCTCGGTCATACAGGTGGCAAACGATCTGTACGTTGCGCCCCGACGGACAGCAGGGGTGCGGCTGTCTAATGATGGCTTGTTGAACAACCAGCGCGGCCTAGATAGACAGAGTCACTACGCAATCCTCCCTGGACGGATTTGTATAGGCTTTCAGGGGCTGGCTCATGCGACTGAGTCACTAAGAACTACAAAATCGGTAAGCTCATTGGGCAACATGGAATTCTGCGTTCCTGGATGAAGTAGGTCCGGAACGGTATATACTTCGCACGAGGTGAAGCTGTTGGAAGTGGTTTGAACGATGGCCAGTCGACCATGACCGCCCAGGACAAGGAGGTCGCATCACGAATCAACCGCTTACTGTAGTCCGGCCAGCACATCAGCAGTCATGTTTCGCTCACAGAAACACCAATTTCCACCAAAGAACTGGCGCAGCGGTACTCGTTCAACATGGAGCGTATCTACAGTCACTCGCCGAAAGTACGTCATGAATGCCGGGACATGGCGGACAGCGAGTATACCACGGGTCATACGCTCGCTCGAGGCGGGTCCCAACAACTATCCAACATCTTTCAACCAGGTAAACACTGAAAACTGATATCAACACGGCAACCGGCGCAAAGGTAGACACTCGGCATGTGATGGAGTTGTAGACAGTCGCTGCAACAGCTTCAATGACGCTCAGTCAGCAATGCGAACAGCACAACAAATAGGAAGCACCACCGAACGAACGAACACCGCTAATCAATTTATTGATTATAACGAACAGCCAAAGCCTCAACATCAACTGGGGAAATGGCGCAGTGGTAGCGCGTCGAGTTTGCAGGTTTCCATATCGGATTCGAATGTAAAACATCTCGAAGGACCGGGGTTCAATCCCCCGTTTCTCCAAAACGCTTTTTGGCGCTGATTTCGAGATCATCGCCCTTTTTGCCACCCTTTTTGCGAGTTCCTGGGCATTCAGAGTGTACGATAGACGAGGCCAGGGCACGAAAGAGCAGGATGCGCATCGGTGTCACTAGTTCAATCAATGCTCGCGGGTGGCCCGGGTAGCGAGTAAGGTCGGAGGGAAAAAGGTAGTGGAGTAGTACGCCATCCAGATGATCGTCAGATTTGATCATTGATGAAGGGCACTTTCAACTGAAACGGTGTCCTTCGTTTCGATCTGTCTGTGTAGTGGTGCTGAGCACCGTCACCGCGAATCACAAAGACTGGAGGTCAGTAGCATTCCTATGTGTCCAAACCGTTTTGTCGCAGTTACCTTCGGCAAGTCTATCGTCCCTCAGGGGCTAATGTTGATGCCTCTTTAGTTGTCACCCTTCCAGGAACAGGGATAAACGGAGGTGAAACCCCTTTGTAAGCGACGAAGTTTCTGTCAATCCTGGTGAGGATCTATCGGATGGACACACATACTTTACGTATAAGAGGCAAAGCATCGCTGATAGCCGTTCCTATTTCCTGAGCAGCATAGGTAATTTATCATTCTGTCACACTGAGTCCGACCCCGAGCATTTTCTATCCTACTGGCTAGGACAAGAAATCCGAGACCACTCACCTCGAGCGCAGCAACCTTCTGTGAAGGCCTTCACTATCGGTCACTTAATACCAACAACTCGCTGAATTCCAGAAGCAAGGCATGCGGTTTCACTCTGCTTTCAGCTCTTTCGTTGGTGTCACCGCCCTTTGCGGGACTCTTCTGGTTGAAGGGCATGGTTACGTATCGAATATCAATATAGCTGGCGTACGTGAATGAGAGCTCCTCTAAATTGCCCACGCCGTATGTAACACTTCTATTCTCAACCATTGCTGCAGGTGGACCACGATACTTGTCATGGGCCACACTACACCGCACTTGATGGAGTTCACTGCGAGACACCTCTCAGAAACACCGCCCGCGAAGAAGAAAGTGAGTGTCGCCCATAACTACTATATGGCAGGAAAGAATGTAAGAATAACGTTGACCCCCTCTTCGTTGACAGATAGGGTAAACACCCCAGAGTACACCGATCTCGACGCAAGACTCGCGGCTGGGGGACCCGATCAAGGCTTCCCGGTGGATTACATCGTGAACAAGGCTGTATCCGCTAACGGAGGAGACGAAGTGAAGGTAAGACTGAGATGCCAGGCCTCATGATATTGGAAACTCACCTTGCCCATTCGTAGATACATTGGCTGAACTGGCCGGTACGTAATTTTTCTGTGTATGCAGACGATAAGCAGCGTACTCAAGTCGCATCTAAATAGGAAAAACACATTGGCCCACTTTTTAACATGATGGCGAGTTGTGGAGAAACCTGCAGCGGAAGAAAGGGAGCGGAGCTGGATTGGTTCAAGATTTCCCAGCAGAATTATGACCCTGTGACCAAAACATGGCCTTTAGAGATCCCTCTGACGACCACGGGTCTCACTACCAAGTTTACGTTGCCGACCAATCTCCCTTCCGGACAGTACTTGCTCAGCCAGACTTTGATCGCCATGCATTCGCAAGACGGACCTCAATACCACGTCAGCGCATTTGAGATCGATTTTAAGGGCACTGGAGCAACTCTTCCAAAGCGCACGATGTGGGTATCGTTCATTGTCATTGTTCGCAATAAGCTTACATTGATACTGGCATAGGACAATCCCGGCCATGTATACGGAGCACCGTAACGACGTGACTCAATTCCGTTTCATGGTCGACAATCCCCTTTGTTACGACTTTGGGCTATTCAGGGTCCCTGGTGTTCCTGTGTATGACGGGTCGGATTCCAGCGCTGGAGGTCGCGGAAACGGGGCAGAAGAGTTCGTTGACCAACCACTGTCAGTGCCATCTACATGTTCTTGGAAATCCGAAACGGTAGTCGGATCCATATTGGGAGCATCAGCCGGGACATCTGGGGGTTCATCCAGCAGCACCAACTCGAATGCGCCAGTCGGTAGTCTAATCGCTGGACCCGTGAAGCCTTCGAACGCACCTCCTACTGCGCCAAAACCCTCGCAGGCACCTCCTGCAGCGCCCCCTTCCGGCCAACCGGCAAGCGGAACGTCGGACAAGGATTGCCTCAGCATCCTGGTGAGTTATTTAACGCCCTTTTTCGACGATGCCAGGCTTAATCATCGCGAGGAAATATAGACCGGATGTTACAAGTCTGCTGCTGCCATCACAGACTACACGACTTCCATGAGTGCCCACACTCGATGTGACGATGACGTGAGTACTCCTCACGTAGTTCGCGAATTCTTCTCTACACGGTTTTTCGTGCACAAGCTAGATTGCTAACCCCTTTACGAACGTTGATACATTCGAACAGTACTCAACATGTCAAGCACGCGCCCCTGCCAAAAGGTTAACCAAGAAACATCATCGAAATCGCAGCCACATCGCCACGGTGTGGTAAAGTAATGAGAAGGTTACGCCCGTTCGAGGGAAAAGGGCACTGTCTGCTGTCTCCATTTCATTTCATGAACCTGTCTGTGCCTGTACTATCACCCAGGTAAAGATGCCCTGTATCTGTTTGACGTCGTGTGTATACAGAACTCCTTGTACGCACAAAACCACACATCTGCGCGACTCCCTGTCTTGATCTTAAAGCTCTTTGACATGTCGGAAATGAATTTATTGAATATGCATATCACAGGAAGGCTCCACCGGCGCAGTAACGAGTAAAGATTGTGTTTAAAGCGGATGAGACGTAAACAATCAGCCAACTATATAGTCCGGAGATGCTACATGATGCTACCATGCTTTTGGCGACCGAGGCGTGTTTCGAAGTTTGATTCCGCAGCGAGTTACACCAAAATTATGTGGTGATCGACGACCAAGAGCAGTCCTCTAGCTAGTCTTCATATGTTGTTTGCCTGTTACAAGCTGTGGTCGCAGCGGTGTCCTTCGTGAACACAAGATATCATACGGAACTCCGCGCAAAATGGTATCCGTCAGCGCTGTTCAAGCGCCATACTTGGCGTCTGCAACAACGCTCATCAAAGCTCTCAAGTCTCCTCACGATCCTCCTCAACCAGACTGGCCGCATAAAATCGAAATTGCCAGTCGAGCATGGACACAAAAGGAGGAAATCGGGCACGGAATAGGTGGAAGAGTGGGTGATATCGTTAGAGAGTGGCTGTTGGAGAGCTGGATCAGGATGAAGAGCACGAAAGGGTAAGCTCGCAGCGCGTAGGCATCTAGGGACTGATCGACTGAGATCTTTGCTGTGATAACAGAGCGAAGAACTCCTTGCTCAATTCATCGTATCACGACCTATTGCGGACGATAATCCAGGACGCAGCGTCTTCCAGCGGTGCCCTCATCTTGACGACCCAATCCCACCAGTTTCTCACAGCATTCCTGCTCTCGTTACGCTTGTCACCGGAGTATGCGACAGAAGAGCTTCTGTCTTCTGCGTCTCAGACCTTCAACGTGCTCTTCAGCTACGACATGTCAGCCTCACGTGAAGATGGAGCGTCAAGAGCAGTTGACGAGACGTTGAGCGGTGTCTTGGTCAGAGCAGAAAACTGGCTGGACACGTTAGGCGGTCTGCTAGCTCTCTGTTCGTACATCGTGGATGCGCAGAAGAGTGCAGCGGGAAGTGCTCAGCCAGCAGCCTCGGCATTGAAGCTTAATGCAGAGCACTCGCACGGCCTTTTGCAGCTTACACAGTTGGTTGTGCTCGAGACGAACGCTAGTCTAGCAATCAGTCAAACTCGACGAAAGGTGAGCAGTCTCATAGCGTGCACATCTGGTTGACGTCTCTCATGCTGACTCTGAAACCAATAGATTACGCTCAACCTAATTAAACCTCTTGTGCCGACTTTCCTCAAAGTCGTTTATTCTCTGCCATCTATCAGAGCGTCGCTGCAGACGCTCGTAGGTCCACTCTTCTGGCCACTCGCCATACTTCAGCCACAGACTCAGAGCAGCCAGGCTTCTTCCACTGAAAGCATGCAAGACCCGTCCGAGACTATCATCCGGGAGCTAGTTTTCCCATCACAGGGACAGCAACAACTCGACTCTCAGACCCTGCTTGCAACCCTTTCCTTCGTCCCTGCGCTCTCGCAAGAGTACGTTTCTGCCGTACAAGCCAATCGATATTCGATTTTTCCGCCTCCGTCGACATCGGGATCCGGCAGATCCAAGATTGGTAACAAGGTTCCACCAGACGTATACGTAGGTGACAAGGTTCGCGAAGCTGTCCGAGGATATGTTAAGGTCATTTCACAGTGCCTTGATGAGGTGTGGACGAGCCTGCGATCCACGGATGAGGGAGGAAAAGGTAGTGTGGCCGGTACAACGATATCTCAGGCAGACATCACACTCGAGATTTGGAAGACGCGATGTGCACTTTGGACAGTCGTGAGGCAGTGGGGAGGGTACTCTGAAGGCGATGAGGCGTGGCGGCAGTTGGTGACCGAAGCTGTCGGTGTTGCTTCAGGATGGCTCTCTGCGACTGGTTTCCTGTTACTCGTCAGTGGAGCGAACAAGGCTATGGACAGACCCGGCAAGTCAGCGAAAGGGTTTTCAACGTCAAACAAGGCCGCCCAATCAGAGACGGAAATCTTCACTTGGGTCGAGACACTATTCTCAACTCTGTTGGAATTGGACTACGGCGCGTGTAAAGTCGATGTTGAGGATAAGGGTATGCGAGTACTCGCAGCTTCACTTTTGGTAAGTAAACTCCTTGCATTTCAAATTGAGCTGGGAACCAACATCTAATCCAGCATTACATAACCAACAGGCGCATCATGCCGGTCTCCCGAACGATACTCTGCCATCCATCCAAATCGCTCTAAGATATCATACACTCACACAGTCGACCCCCGAATTCGCCGCCTTACTGGCATCAGTGGTGCAATACTGTTTCTCACCCGCAATTTCGGTCACTACTGCCCCCCGCGACGTCTATGTTCGTCTC